CGCTTTGCATGTAATGCGTCTATCTCATATATTGGTTTCACCTTTTGAGTTGCCTTATTGAAATAAATGAACATTTGCACGATATTCTAATTTTTCGAGTTTCACCTGTATATCTAAGAAGGAAAGGAGACAATATGGAATTTAAGAACAGAACTGAAGCAATACTTAAAAATAGAAACAGCTTTTTTAAAAAAGCACGAATTCACATAGTTTCTACATCAATTTGGGGGGGGGGCAAGATTAGATTAGCTCTTCTAAATTTATCAATACTATTATAATAATTTATTATTATTATTATATATAATATATATTATTATTATATATAATAATTGTTTTGTAAACCACCCAGAGTCATTTCAACGAGATGGGTGATGATAAATTTGATATATAAATAAAAACAAATAAATCTGAAAAATAATGCTATGGTAGCAGTGGCAGCCAAGTCCATAAAAATCACATGTAGTTGTGAATCACATAAAATTATGTTAACTATTTGCATCATTCTTATTTCTTGACAAGAAAAAAAAGTGTTTATTAGACCAGAATCAAATACACCAAAACGAAGTTTAACCATTCTGAAGTTCTGAGTTTTCTGACTGTTCTGAATACAGCTGATGAGGCAGTTTTCTGTTTGTGATCTGGTTGCCTTTTTTCAAAATGTTACCTTAACAGTCCAGCATCAGGGGACCAGACACATTCTTGCTATTGATTTAGACTGGATGGAATGAACTGATAATGAAGCATTGTGAGCGCAATTAAGCACCATGAGAGAAGAGAAGAGAGTTTACTACCTACTAGTCTGCCTAATAGGTTATTGGGTTTATTCTTGTTGTTTTTCATTTGTTGCTACAAATAAGTGTTTAAAAAAAAGATTTAAAGTATTAGATACACAGCTTCAGGTAACAGCAGTTTACCTGAAGTAAACCACCAGGAAGTAAGAACAAAGTTTATTTTATTTCTTATTTAAAATAGCCCAGAGGTGATTTATGTACATTTCTTGGACAGATGTAATTGAATCATAATCACAAAAGGAGCAAGCCATGATTACATTTCAAAGCAGTAAACAAAAGGCATGAGTCATGAATTCATTTCCCATAGCAGAGAGAAAGAGAAAAAAAGTTGATTTTAAATTTCCTACATAGAAGTCAGAGTTCACATATTTAAATGGGCTGCATTTAGTTCACAAGGGCTCAGCATGTGTATGAATGTGCAGAAGGGAGCCATACGTGCATTAAGAAAGCAGATAAGTCAAAAAAGTTGGGTGTGCATATTATTGTTTCCTACAAAAATATTACTAAAGTTGCTGAGATTATAAAGACAAAGCCTACTGTACTATGCAGGGTCTTTAAAGTTCATTTAAAAATCAAAATCTAAATTGTTTTGAGCTGGTTTGTTAAGATTTGGTATATGTTTGCACTCTACTAATGCTTCTGGGACAAAGTTCAATAAACCAAAGTTATTCTGTCTTCTCTAACATACTTATCTCTGTGTTAACTTGCATTGATTGGCTTCTGGACTATGTTTATGTTGATATTTGAAGCTGTATTATAAATATTATGGATCCTATCTGAAGATAGCAACCTGACAAGGATCTCAGGAAAGTGGGGGATGGGATGAAAAAAGAAGCAAACAAAGCAAGAAAGCAAACAAAGAACAAAGGAATATGGCCTTGGTGGTGTGAAGACCAGTAAATGACCCGGGCTGAAACCAAACAGTCCAGAAGACTGTCAGTAGGTGAAAACTGCTAATCAACCAAGATTTACATAGCCCAGCAATTATAGCAACAATCAATGAGACCATCTACTTAAGAGATTATCACTGGACCTGGCAGTACTGGACAATTTTTGTCCAGTCGCCAACTTTCCCTTTTTTGGGAAGGTTGTTGAGAAAGTGGCATGCCTTCAGCTCCAAAGCCTTCCACCCACTGGATGAAGTAGATTATGTCATCCCATGGCAGTCAGGTTTCAGGCCAGGATATGGTACTAGGATGGCTTTGATTGTTCTAGATGACCTGCAGCAGACCTAGGATGGGGGTAGTATATTCACCTGGCCCTTCTTAACAGCTTTCAATACCATCACTCATTGTATTCTTCTGGGTTGGCTGAAGGGACTGGGAGTGGAAGGAACTATTCTTTAGTGGCTCTATATTCTCCAAAATCAGTTCCAGCTGGTGTTGTTATGGGGGGAGATATCTAGCCCTAGAAATCACTGGTGAGGTGATCCATTGGCATGGGGTGAAGTATCATCAGTATGTTGATGATATTCAAGCATACATCTGTGCCTCAGGGATGGATTCAAGAGATTTGTGGTTATTGAGATTTCACTGAACCTTGATTTGGGTTTTTTGGTTTTACTGGAATGTTTTATTTTTATTTCGTTCACTGCCCAGAGTTTCCTTCGATAGATGGGAGGCCATATAAATTGGATTAATATAGTGTGGATTACTTGCTCATCCTCAATCTCTTTGGGGATATTACCTCACCGAATTATGCATAAGAGCATTCCTCACATAAAGTCCCAGTTACTGACCAAGACTCCATCTCCAGCAATCTCAAGATACCTGTTCCCAAGCAATGGAACATAGCAAGGGGAGACAATTGGTTTCATGTGCCTTTGTGGGTGCAAATTAAAGATTGCAGAGGGAATAGGGAATGTCCCTGAAGGACAGGAGGAATAGCCACTACTAGGCAAAAATCAGACGAGCGTAGCTTGAGTCCATTCCAAGAAAACTAATTTGAGTAAAAGTTCTGAGACAGGCCCTTCCCTAGTTCACAGAAATATAAAAGAAGGGAGAGGGGAAGCACATTCAGATTTGCAAGATTCTGTCACTATAGCTGTTACAATAAAAGTAGTCTTGGCCTATATGGCATTAGTTTCTTAGTCTGGTGATAAAAACTGCGTGACTATGAATGAGATGTAAGTTTTATTTGAAATGCAAAGACTCTTGTGTTGGTTCACTGGGCATGATTGTTTCTTTGTCCTGTGAATAAACCTGCAGAATGGTCTTGTTGACAGATTGTACAGCCTGTGTTGTGTTTTTGTGTTGCACTATAATGTTCTATTAGTTCATGCAAGACTTGAACACAGTAGCCTTTGCCTGTGACAAAGAAGAACGGCCTATTGTTTGAACTTAGTAAGTATGTGAAGTAGACAGTCTGCTACCATGTACAGAGAAAAAGGTGGAGGGGTAATTTTTTAAAAAAAATGCTGCATAGGAATGGAAGAAATACAGGGACCATAATTTTTGGCTATTACCTGGCTAAAATGGAAGAAACATTGTCAGTATAATTTGTACCTACCAGATAGGTTGGCTTGTTCATCTCTAGGCAAGTAGGTACTAATTGAAAAGAATGTTGATGAGATTAGGGTTTTTTTTAAGCTTTAATATTTTGGCTGAGCACTTTAAAGAACTGAAAAAGATTTTTCTATTAAGGAGGATGAAAAATCCTGATAACTGCTAATGAGAATCTGTTTGTCTTTTGAGAATGTAATTGCTTTCATAAAAGTTTTAAGATCAATATCTATAGAGGTTGGCTGGTAAGTAACAGTCTGCATGAATTGTTACTTTGCATACCAGAACAAAAAATAGTGGAATAATCAACTTGCCAGAGCACTTCAAAAATTTTGCAGTGTCAGAACACAGAACAATTATGTTATTTGGGAATTGTTTTCTCCAGGTAGAATCTGTCTTTCCCTATGTAATCAATCTGGAAGAAGACGTTGTAGAAGTCCATCCAAGAGGAGTGCTGGGACCCAGAAACTAGTACTTTCAAAAGTAGTTCCTCACTTTGGAATAGCTTGTTTTAATCAGTGGATATTATAAGCCACCTACAGTTGTACAAGGAGTCGGCATACAACTATTAGTAAATAAATACATTTCAAGTTTTGTGCTACCAGAATTTAGTTATCTCAAAACATTTCAACAGAACATTTTGACTGAAACTGCTTTGTTCCAAATTCAGAATAACACACATTTTCCATTCCATGCACATCCTTATTCTGTACTAGATTAAAAGTCTTACTGATGATCTTTAAAGAAGCATTTCAGGTAGTGAATGACTTGTTCAATTTAACCAGGCTGACACATATTTTGGAATATACCTAACTGTGCATAAAGATCATTCTAATATGTCTCTATTTTCCCTAAGCATACTTCTAATCAAACTAACTTCTGGATGTAATCCTTTTTTAAAAGGACCAATCAATAAATGGTTTAAAACAATTCTAACACTTAACTATGACAAAAATATTCATATATTCTCACCAATATTAGCCATTTTCCTAAATGTAAATCTTGTCTTATACACTTAAATCTTTTTAGATTCTTTTGTAATTAAAAATAATAGTCTGTTCAGGATAATAGTCTACATTTCATACAACAAAATCAGGATATAATTATGCGCACAATAATAATTGAAACTTTGTTAACAGAATATTGAACTGATATTGTATCTTGGTATGTACCTTACTGGGTTTCTTTATCTTCAATTTTCCTGCTTTTATGACTTTAGTAGAACTCTGCAGTTCTAAAATGAAGGAAAAGTCGTTAAATCACTGAAGTCTGATTTAGAGATTCAGTTGAGTAGCACTGTATATTTAGCAGGTATTAATATCAAATTATTTGCACACAATTTATTTTTAAGTAGTTTACTAACATGCTTGAAAATTAACAGTTTCTTTAAAAATCTAAAATACAATGCTTATAAATAGTTAACAGTAGTTTTATAAGACTTTTACCCACACCAACATACATTTTATTGAACTTAAAACCTAAGGCTGCAACCTTATATATCTGTTTCCCCATCATGTCCCCATAGGCAAGCTAAGTGAAAGTTTCAACAGTTAAGTTCCAACATACCTAGAGGACATCAGGTTGAGGAAGTCTGTTCTACATACTTAACTAAGAATACATGCACCAAGACTTGGTTCTGCATAAAGACGTACAGGTAATTATCCCACAGCCTTTGTGGAATTGAATTATGAAAGTATTTCAAGAGGGAACAAATAAATGTATTACAAAGTACAGGTGTCCAGCAATCTTAATTAATGAAAGCACTAAAATTAGGTTATTAGAAACAATAGGTAAAAATAACAGATTGTCTCCAGAGAGATGCATACAGAACCGTTTAACATGAGATTATCCTTTGTTTTCTTGTCTCAGTACACCCTGTCCTCATTTAGCAACTGAGTTCCATTTTAACAACCGGATTGTTAAGAGAAATGGTCACTAAGTGAACATATAACTCAGAGACAGAGACAGAGATGATGCGAAGATCACTGGTTGCTGCTGTCTCATTCAGATAAAGTTCTTTTACAGCTATGCCAGTGTTACTCTCACTCTGGCGTGCATTGTCAGGCATATGAAATTTGGTAATAAATGCGTGCACTGATTGAAAAATGAATTTTTATTACTGTCATATTTGCGAATGGACACTAACTGAGGTAGTCCCTAAACAACGAGTGGGTGTAGTACCCCTCAAAGCCATCTTCTAAAGATTAAAGTTTTTGCTAGATGTGGTATAAAGAGAATAGAAAAATCCCTAAAAAACCAGAAGAAATTGTTGCTCCCACTGCCATTCAGTGCCACTACAACCAACAGGTACCTCACAAACAATTTCAGATGTCTGGGAATCACTTGAGATAAGAGGAAGTAAGAAAACTTAAGTTCTTATTTTTTATTAAAAACCCTGTTTCAACTGTTGATAAATAATGAAAAGATAACAATTGCAAATACAGTTATGAATATGCTTTTTCAAATAATAACACTAGCAAATATTTACAAGAAATGTACAGTATATGTTATTGATGAGAACTTTTCTGAAGCAAAACAAAAATTTTCCTATCTAAATTACTTTCTCTAAAAAATCCCAAGCAAGTTAGAACTTACTGGCTAAAAAAATGTTCTTTGTCACTGGTACTTGGTTAAAGAACAAAAAATTAAATTGCAAAATACACATTTTTTTCAATGGAAACATATAATAAGAGACACACCTCAATGCTAGTATTGGACTTTTAACTTGTTTAACTTTTGGATTGTATGGCTTAGGAAACAGAAATGAAGTAGGAGACTGACTTATCAATTTCTGCCACTCCAATTATTTCTCCATAGCTAACACTGTCTTCAAACAAACCAACAATGCCTATATATATGGACATCATCTGATGGAATATACAGAAATCAAATTAACTATATTATTACTAAAAGGAGGTAGAGAAGTTCAATTATAGCATCAGAGATGGCTAGGTGCTGACTGCGGAACAGATCACAAACTGTTAATGTGCAAGATTCAAGTTAAGCTAAAGAAGAGAAGAGAAGCCAAAGCCAAGAAAGATAAAAATCTCAGAAAGGAATTTAACAAAGAGTTTCAGAGAGAAGAGACACGAAGCAGTATTACAACATCTGTAAAGACACTGAAGATGGAAACAGGCTAGAAAAAAAAGAAAAGTCTTAAAAGATCTCTGAACTCAGAAGAATGTTCCAACTTCAAATTGGTATGCTAAAGGACACCAATGGACAGATAGTAAATGATTCAAAGGATATCAAAAGAAGATGGAAGGAGAATATTGAAACACTATACACCGGATATGCCAACATCCAAGATATCTTAAAAGTATGTCCTACTTACAAGAACCTCTAGTACTAGAAGATGAAGTTAGATCAGCACTGCAGTCATTATCAAGTTAGAAGACTACAGGAACTGATGGTATACTCACTGAAATATGGCAAGCAATAAACTAAGAATCAGTAAAGGTTCTAATTAAGCTATGTCAGCAAATCTGGAGAATCATACAGTGGCCCACAGGATTGGGAAAGGTCAATCTACATTGCAATTCCCTCCCCCACAAAAAAAGAAGACTTAACAGAGTAGCAAACTGGGGCTTAGTTTTGCTGGGTGAGGACCTTGATCCTGTTGGTCCTGATGAAGTGGACCAGGTTTTCATCTTAGGTCAGCCACCTGTGTATTATATCCACGTTCCTCCTGCTTGGTAATGCCTCCCACAGAGAGACACCTGGTTGGGTTCTGGCAGTGGTGATTTTTTTCTTTTTTCTTGAGAGAGGGGGTGTCCCCCATCTCTTAAAGAGGAAGTGTTTTGCCCCCTTCTCAATAAGCCATGAACTGTATTGGACAACTTTTCCCCTGTTTCCAACTTTCCCTTTTTAGGGAAGGTTGTAGTGAAGGTGGTTGTTAGCAGCTCCAGAGAATCCTGGAAGTGGATTATCTGGACCCCTTTCAGTCAGGTTTCAGGCCTAGGTATGGGATTGAAACAGCAGTGATCACACTTACTGCTGACCTCTGGCAGGAGCGGGATAGGAATGGTGCATCCAACGTTGCTCCTTCTGATTTGCTGGCAGCATCGTTTATGGTATCCTTAGGGTTGGCTGCAGGGGTGGAAGCTGGGAATGGGTGACATTGTGCTGGTTTTCTTCCTTCTTCCAGGGTCAGTTCCAGTCCGTGATGATTGGGGGGAGAGGTCCAACCCTCAGCTGTTGCTGTGCAGGGTTTTGCAGGGCTTGGTAATCTCTCTGCTCCTACTTAAAATCTATATAAAGTTGTTGGGTGAGGTCATCCAATGGCATGGGTTGAGGTACCATCAGTATGCTGATGATATCCAGCTTTACATCTCCACCCCTAGCCACTCAAGTGATGCTGTGGAGGTTCTGTCTCAGTATCAGGAGGCAGTGGGGGTTGGATGGGGAACAGTAGGCTTCAGCTCAACCCTAGCAAGACCAAATAACTTTGGGTATTAGATCCCCCTGGTTCTGGGGACTTTCCATCTCTTGTTCTGGATGGGGTTGCACTATCCCAAACAGAACTTTTGTGCAATTTGAGGGGCTTTTTGGACTCATGGCTCCTGTTTGGGGAACAGGTGGCATCAATGACCAGGAGGGCCTTTGTGCAACTTTAATGATTTTAGGTATTTATTAATTGTTTTAGTTCTGTTGTACACCACCCAGAGTCACTGGCTTTGGGCGATGGGCAGCTATATAAATTAGATAAATAAATAAACTTCATGTTAAGAACCAGGACACTCTCCTCACAGTCACTCATGCCTTGATTCCCTGCTAAATGAACTACTTCAATGTGCTGTACATGGGGCTGCCCCTGAATAGCATCCAGAAGCTGGTACTGAATGCAGTGGCACAGGCAGTTACATGTGCTCCTTGATCAGTGCACATTATACCTCTGCTCTATGAACTGGACTGGTTGGCAGTATGCTTTTGGATTCAATTCAAGGTGCCGATAATGACTTTTGAACCCTTCATGGCAAGGGCGAGGTTATTTGAGGGACTGCCTCTCTCCGGTTATGTCAACCTGTCCCATTAGGTCTGGTAGGGGAGGCATGCTCGAGGTCTCTATTAAAGAATGTCATCTGCCAGGAACCAAGAAGAGCACCTTTTCTGTTGTGGGCACCTGCCTTGTGGAACATTATCCCCTCAGAGATTAGATTGGCCCCAATCCTGCTGGCCCTTCACAACACCTTGAAGATATGGTTTTGTCACCAAGCTTGGGGATCTGAATGTGTGGCAAAGCCTGTCCAATGGAATTGTTGTTGGTGGTTCTGTTTTTTTCTTTCTTTTAGACCTCAGCTGACTATGTATTATTTTTATAGTTTTGTGTTTTTAACTGTTGTTAGCCACCCAGAGTCATGAATTTGAGATGGGTGGCCATATAAATTGAAATAATGAACAAACAAAAAACAGGTTGACTGCCCAGAAAAGAATTTGGGGAATACAATGGATGAAAACACCAGCTAGTGTGATGCTACAATATGTCTTTGAATGCTGGCCAAAGTAGAACAGAATACTAAATTAAATTAAACTTAACAGGGTTCCATCATGAATTTTCTGATGTTCTTACATGGTATATTGTGTTCTATCATATACTAATAAATGCACATTAAATAAAACTAGGAAATGCCTAAAGAGCCAATATGGTTGAAGAGGCAGATTCTGAAGAAACTGAGACTAAAGAAGAAAGTTTACTAGAAATGAAAGGAAGGGTTCCAAGTCTACAAAGTTTCAAACCAGAAATGTAGGGATGAAGGGAGAAAATGAACTAAGGCTAGCAAGAGAGGGAAAATCCAGCAAGAAGGGAAAATCCAGCAAGAAGCTAAATATGCCAACACACAAGGAAGACAAAGATAATGTGGGCTCACTGCTTACTGCAAATCAAGCAATCTTAACAGATTATCAAGAGAAAGCAGAAGAACTCAACTCCCATTTTGCCTTTGTGTTTACATCCAAAAGAAATGGCTATTTGAGTAGTACAAACTGAGAAGAAACACAACAGGAGAAGGTGCAGACCAGTAAGAACATAGTAAAGGATCTTCTAACTAATTTGAATGATTTCAAGACACAGGCCAAATGTAATATATCTCAGAATACTAAAGGAACTGGTTGAAGAGCTGTCAGGATTTCTGTTAATTTTCTTTGAGGAGTCCTAAAGAAGTAGGAAATTATCAGAGCGCAGCAAATGTGGTCCACCTTTTCAAGAAAGGGAAAAGAAGAGGATCCCAGTAATTATTGACCAGTGAGCTTAGCAATGACCCTTGGAAATATGTCGGAACAAGCAATAAAGCAAGCCATTTATAAGCATCTCAAAGACAATATTGTTACCAGACAACATGGCATTGTCAAAAATAGATAATGTGAGACAAATTTCCTCTTTTGACAGGATAACTAATCTATGGATAAGAGAGATGCTGTGATTATAAACTACCTTGATTACAGCAAGGCTTTGGACAAGGTTCCACATGACCTTCTCACTGACAAGCTATTAGTGTAGTTTGGATAGCATTTCAGTAAGATGGATCCACAACTGGCTGACTAATTGCACACAGAGTCAGCATCAACTTGGAGAGTAATAACCAGCAGGGTCCTACAGGAATCTGTCTTATTCAGTATTCAACATTTTTATTAACAACCTGGGTAACAGGATTGAGGGGCTGGTTATTAAATTTGTGGATGACATAACACTGGGAGGTTTGGTCAAAACCCAGGATAACAGAATGAGATTGTAGTTTAATCTTGATAGGTTAGAAGACTAGGTTGAGAAGAACACAATGTTCTTCAACAGGAAGAAGTATAAAGTATTACATTTAGGGAGAAAAAAACATAGCACACACAAATAGAGGATTCATAGCTTGGAGGTACAGTACTAAATCAGCAAAGAACTTGGGTGTAGTCATTCACAAGAGGCTGAACATGAACAAGCAGGGTGAGACTAACACTAGGAAATCTAATGCAATTCTGGACTGCATTAGAAGAAGCACTGTATCTAAGACACATGAAGTCATTATTCCCTTTTACTCTGCATTGGCAAGACCACACCTGGAGTATTGAGTATTCCATTTCCAGAATGATATTGACAGGTAAGAATAGGTTCAGAAGAGAGTGACAAGACAATACAGGGACTTGAGGATATGCCCTATGAGGACAGACTGAAGGAGGTTGGAATGTTCAGTCTGGAGAAAAGAGCAAAGGGAGACATTATGTCAGTATTCAGGTACATAAAAGGGTGCCGCAGGGAAAATGATCAGAAGCTATTTTACATGGCCACAAAAACCAGGACAAAAAAATAATGGGTATAAGTTAGAGCTACTTAGATTTTGTTTAAATATAAGGAAAAACTTCTGGACTCTTAGATCTGCACAATAGGGGAGACTGTGGGGTCTCCGTTTCTGGAGAGCCACCTTGGGAGCATGGTTTAATTGATTTTTCTGTGCAATGCAGAGGTTGAACTAGATTCCTAGTGGTTGCTTCCAACTATATAATTCTATGCTTTCATGAAAAATCTGTGGCTTTATAATACAAGGAGGAATTAGAAACATTCTAATATCAAATGGATCAAGAAACATGTATCACCTAAAAATAAAATATAGAACCTGTTGGGCTGAGACAATGGCTAGCTCAAAGTCATCCAGCAAGCTTCCATGATTCAGCGTAGACTAGAACCTGGACTTTCCTGCTATTATTCCAACATCTTAAGCATACTTCATTATAACCACTGGTCTCAGCAACCATCGAAAATCTAGTTATTTATAGATTTAAGTATTTCTTAAGGTTCATTCTGCAGAACATCAATGTTCCTCTAACAACTTAAAAATGTTTTGCAAGCTCATTCACTCTGTTGCCATTAATATGCAGATATTCAGTAAATATTATTAAAATCTGAATTAAAGTTCAGAGAATATGTTTTCAGTGAAAAGCATCCTTCAGTAACTACAACACCGAATACTGAAATAGGCTGAAATTATGCCAACTGTAATAATGAATGAAATACATCACCACATGCCAGTAACCCCACAGATATCATTAAGATTTACAACTAATGTATTAAATGTAAGAAGAAATCTAAATTATTAAAATGCTTTTCATATCAATTTTTTAAAAGAAATAGTCACAGGTGTTCCACATTAAAAATGTTTGGTGTTCTGTTCTCTTGAGATGTTTAAGAAACAATTAACTAGACGACCCGTTAAGTACTTCACATCTCCGTGATTGCTCTCCAAATATCAACTATACATTCTAGAGGTTTTGTTACCAGTTAGACCTTCTCCTCTTCATTCTCACATAACTCCAAAATACACCACACCCCCTCACGCTCACTTTCCTAATCTGACTGCATATGCAATTTCGAACAGCAGAACTCCTTCAGGTCTGCTCGGCAAACGAGCCCACGCCTTTTCTCCATAGCTCGTGTCACTTGGGGTCAATACTGAAGAGGAAGGGAGGGGGGAGCTTTAAAGAAACTTGAGAGTGATTCGCCGCTAGAAGCGCCGCACGACTGTCATTCCAACACCCCCACCTCCAAAAAAAAGATGAAAGCGCTGCTACTAAATTTGACAACTTCTTCCATTTAACGCCACCCGCTCCCCGCCACCTGCAGCGGCCCTTCTCACCCGGATCCTTCGAAGAAAATCCGCCGCCCGCGGAAGCGCTGGAAGGAGATAAACTACCAGAGTTGGGGGGAGGTTTCCAACGCGTCCAGGGATTCTCCTTAGGCGGTGGGGCCTCGACCACATGAGATGGCTGCGGCCTCCCCTGTTGCCACTTGTCGTTGTCTTCGTCGTCCTCTTGCTGTCGTTGCAAGTGCAAACCCTCGGCGGAGTCACTTTCCCGGGAAGCTTCGGTTACTTGGCCGGAAGAAAGCAGGAGCTGCTCCCGATGGTTCTCTTCGAGTAACCAGGCCCCACCATTACTCTTCTCCGCACCCCGAAATGGTGGCTGCGGGGCAGCCGCTGACATGCCGAGAGGGAGCTGCCGCTCTGTCCCGCACACTTCTCCCCCTCCGTTCCCTGTTGGGCTGCAGTAGGGAGAGAAGCAGGGCGCTGAAAGATCGGAGCGAAGCTAAGAGGAACCCCGTGCTGGGGGCCTTGCCCGCCCCACGGGGGCTGAGGCTGGAGGGGAAGCGCCCCCCCCCCGCCTGAACAGCGGCCTCCGGGGGCGGCGTTGTTCATACACCTCAGGGGGTGGTTCAACCGCCGCCGCCCCGTGGCGGGGAGGAAGAGAGAGACAGCGCGTCGCACGCGGGGAAAAATCTAGGGTTCCCGACGAGGAGGGGGTGGTTGAGAGAGTCAGTTTTCGAGGGCCTGGTTAAGTCCGTCACAGCTGTCGCGTGCGTGCTACCTCGCGCCGGGGGAGGGGCAGGGTGGGTGGGAAAGGGGCGGGGATAGAGCACAGGAGGGAATAAAAGGAGGGGGGAAGGCGAAGAACTAGTAAGCAAAGCGATCGCTATGAAGAGGCGGAGTCTTCAAGCTCTTCGATGCTTTGTGACATCACAACGGTCAGCAGTGGAGAGTGGGCTGCGTCCTTATTTTTCATCTCACTTCCCCCCCCCCCCCCCCGCTGAGGTGGTGGAGAATTTAATCAAAAGGAAGGAAGAGTATTTCTCGCCCAAAGACTTCTGAGTGGGAGATGCTGAGGAGGAAGCTGTAATTTGTCCAGGCAAGCAGCCTTGGAAAATATGGCTCTAGGACTCCCATCTTCAATACCTCTCTCCAGTGATGAGGAACTATCGATGACCACTCTTTTAGTACGATTTATGAACCAGTTAGGTGTCAGTTCATGCTATTTTGCCAACGCTTAACTGCTTTCGAATCAGAATATCATGGGGTGCTTTCTCAAGTAATGCCCAGTTGATATAAAGATCTGTAACATTCCTACGATCTGTTATAGAAGTAACCTGATGAAACAGTGAAATCTATGACTTCCGGTGATTACAGTTTTCAAGGTACTTACACATACATCTTTTTTAATGATCTGCTTTAGAATGTCAGACTGGCGGGACTATTTGCTGGATTTTCCTGTCCCCAGTTTTTGAACACAGGGACAAATGCTCTCATTTTCTCTCTAGGATCATGGTAGTTCAGCCAGATGATCATCTCGTTCCTTCAATACCTTAGAATGCAATTCATCTAGTCTTGGTGATTTAAACTCAAAGTTAAAAAAAAAAAAAGTATTTCCTAGCCATGTTTTTATCACTTTCAAGTTCAGTCCTGCCCTTTCATAATGCTCTTTGCTTTTTTCTGGTGGAACAGGTTTGTTTTTTAAATTGGAGAAGACTAGAGTTGACCAGCTCCAACTTTTTGTTAGTTGCTTTTTTTTTTAATTGAACAGCTGGTTTCTGATTCTTTTTCTGTTACTGTCATACAGTGGGGCAAAAAAGTATTTAGTCAGCCACCAATTGTGCAAGTTCTCCCACTTAAAAAGATGAGA